TTGACCCCACTTTCTAGCAGCATGAAAATCAATACTATTGTTTTTCTCCACCCTAATCAGACATATTTGGGCCAGCACCCTTTCTCCCTCCTAGTCATCTTCTCTCCTGATTTCTGCCGCTCAAACATCCCTCACCTTTCTGTCACAGCCTCAGAGACATAAAGAGTATCTTATCCTTTTGAAAGTGGCAGGCATCCCCTGACTTAATAAATTTGGAGACTAAGAATGGGACTAGCTGCAGCCCTGACTGATGGACTGTCAGCTGGACATTGGTTCCGTCACCACAACTGCCCTGATAATGAGCTCACTATCAGAGAGCCCCAGACTCCCCAGATTCTCTCAGCCAATAAGCCAACTAACATTTTAAAATACAGTATCTGATGTGCAAGGAGATGATGTAAGTTGCACAGGAATGTGATAGTCAAAGCAGAGAAGGGGGAGCAACCTGACACTTGGTAAGTGGCACTATTGCTAGACACATGGTGAAACAAGACTTAAGAATGGATTTTACACCTAGACATAATAGATGCTGTCTTGTAAAGACATCTAGAGAACAAGATAGAGTTGACCCTCAATATCAGTAAGTTCTGCATGCTCAGATTTAATCATTTAATCACCCACAGATGCAGCCAGGTCAGCCAATAGTTATAAAATAAGAAAGGAATGGCTCCCTGAAGGAGAGATGCTAAAGAAATGTGTGTGTGTGTGTGTGTGTGTGTGTGTGTGTGTGTGTGTGTGTATTATATAAATACATTCTCTTTTTTTTTTTACTTATATCTGATGCTGAGATTACTTTTAAGTAACCTAGAGATGATTTAAATTGCCGTACGGGGGTATGTGCATAAATTATATGCAAATATTACAGCATTTTATGTCAGAGAATTGAGCATCCTATAATTTTGGTATCTGTGGGAATCATGAAGCCAATCCCCTGAGGATACTAAGACATGATTGTAATAGCCTATGCATTGAAAAAAACTTGATATTTAAAGGAATTGCCATGAAAATGAAATTTTTTCTCCAAGTTTTTATTGTTTGGTTTGTGGGTGGAAGCAGAGCCATCTTCATGACCAAGGCATTTCATAGTCAACAAGTTTATACTGGACACATCATCACTGCTGAGAAGTCTGCTCCTCTTCTTACTCTCTCCTAGCAAATAGCACTGTTCTTTGCCTATCCAGAACCTGGGCTACTCTGACAGTCTCTTCAGTGCCCTTGTGTATGTGTACCTCTCTCCACTCCCTTCTCTCCACTGTTGCCCACAGAGACCTTCCAAAACATTCTGATTGTGTCTCTACCTTTCATAAGACACCACCACAGCTAGCTTCTCCTTGACATCACAGTCTTCACCAAGATTTAACCTTCATCATTCAGTCCTCATCTGCTAATCCATTCTCCTTCTCACCTCTGTCCACTAAATGCAGCTCTGCAGACCCTAATGCAAACAGAATCCTATGCTATGCTCCCAAAGGTTCCAGTGCTGGGAAGGGTCTAATTCTGGTGGTCCAAAGTAGGGATCAGAAATGTTCATTTGCAATAAGAATCCCACATGGTTCTGATGTATGTGTTTCTCATGGCACTCTCCAGAAAATTGGGGCTTAATAATAGCTAAATGTAGACCTATAAAGGTCTATGTTCAGACTCCAACATTAAAAAGCTGTGAAAGTTAGCAATTTCACCTTTCTAGGTATCATTCTCTTCACTTGCAAAATGAGATTCATCATGCCTACTCAAGACTTTACATCCATTAAATGGATGATGTATTTGAAATAGCACAGTAGCTGGCAAGTGCCTAATAATGGCAGCTACTAGCTGTCTGAATGCACCCCACCCCCAGAAATCCCCATGGCATGAGCAAGATACCCCTCCCATATTCCCCTCTGCCTTTTTGTATGTCCTCCACCATCATTCATCGTGCTCTGTCATCTGCTTGCCAGTCTCTGTCCTCACCTCAACTGAGGTCAAAAGATGCTGTTCTTTACATTCACATCCACTGAAGCAAAACTTTTTACATAAAAGTGCCTCAAGTTTTCTTACAGAAAAGAAGTGTTTTAACAGAAAGTGGAGTGTATCATTGTTGTAATACTGTTTCTTTTACAGTCTGTCACAGAAAGTTTTGCCAAAGTGATCCATGGCCTGAAAGTGGGACACCTGACAGATCACGTGATTCAGAAGAGCAAGAGGATGATTCTAGATACTCTAGGTGTTGGGTTCCTGGGAACCAGTACAGAAGTATTTTGCAAAGCCAGCCAATACAGCAAAGTAAGAAGATCAAAGTCTACTTCAGAGATAAAACCCATCATGCATACATACATATTCTCTGGTATATACCCAGAGATATGTATGTGCATTTCATTTACTCTATGTTTAGTTTTATGGGTAGTACTTTATACATATATATAAATTATATTCTGTTTCATTTTTGAGTTTTAATATTCATTCATACCCTTTACTAAGTGATTGTTTAAAACTAAACACTAGTATTATCTCACCGTTTATTATTATGACAGCTGAAAGCACATTTTAACCTGATAGTCTTACAGGCAACAGCACAAATCACAGCTATTTGATCATGGAAAGACTTCTAGACTCCCTAAAGAAAAGGCTGGTCGAGGATTCTGAGCAGAGAGTAGCCATGTACATGGAAAATGTAGTATCTGCTCTTTTTAGGGTATATTTGGTATAGACAGATGACTTTCCCCAGCACCAATCCCAAGTAGTCAGTAAAAGTAAATTAAAGTGGTGGTTAAGGGTGCTAGACTCCCACATGACCAACCACAGTTCGAGTCCTGCACCTGGCAGTTTGCTGTCTCACTTTCTCTCTCTCTCTGTCTCTCTCTCTCTCAGTCCCTCCCTGGTCAAATTAATATGAAATAAATGAATAAATAAAGTTAAAATAAAGTAATTCTTTAAGGAAAAAAAAGTAAATTTGGACTTGCTTGCCTGGAGCACTTCTCAGTCACAATCTGGGGTTGAGGAACAGCACTTTCATTTGCTTCCATGGGGAAAGTTGTATTTTCTTCTACAAGAAAGAGAGGAATCCAACCACCAAAGCTTTTATCTACACAAAGGTTCAAGTAAGGACTATTAATATAATGTCTCCAGAAATGAAGAATAACTCTTGACATGATGACTTGGTATAGTGAGTTCACACTCGAGATCACTTATCCATGTTCTTTTGTTTCAGATCTACAGTTCCAATTTATCCAGCAGTGTTTGGGGTCAGCCAGACTTCAGGCTCCCGCCTACATATGCTGCTTTTGTTAATGGTGTGGCTGTAAGGACATTTACATATCTTTTCAACTATTAAATAATCGTGAAATTTTTAGAGCCTGGAAATAACTTAGTAATCATCCAACTACCATAGTCTTAGAGATGAGATCATTGACATTCAAAGAAATGAAGTGGTCTTCCCTCTTTCTTAAGTAATAATTTCCTTTTCATGTTTTTACACTAAACCGATGCTTTTTGAATAAGTTGTAAGGTAGAGGAAATAAGATGGAATGACACAGGACCAACCACAGTTCGAGTCCTGCACCTGGCAGTTTGCTGTCTCACTTTCTCTCTCTCTCTGTCTCTCTCTCTCTCAGTCCCTCCCTGGTCAAATTAATATGAAATAAATGAATAAATAAAGTTAAAATAAAGTAATTCTTTAAGGAAAAAAAAGTAAATTTGGACTTGCTTGCCTGGAGCACTTCTCAGTCACAATCTGGGGTTGAGGAACAGCACTTTCATTTGCTTCCATGGGGAAAGTTGTATTTTCTTCTACAAGAAAGAGAGGAATCCAACCACCAAAGCTTTTATCTACACAAAGGTTCAAGTAAGGACTATTAATATAATGTCTCCAGAAATGAAGAATAACTCTTGACATGATGACTTGGTATAGTGAGTTCACACTCGAGATCACTTATCCATGTTCTTTTGTTTCAGATCTACAGTTCCAATTTATCCAGCAGTGTTTGGGGTCAGCCAGACTTCAGGCTCCCGCCTACATATGCTGCTTTTGTTAATGGTGTGGCTGTAAGGACATTTACATATCTTTTCAACTATTAAATAATCGTGAAATTTTTAGAGCCTGGAAATAACTTAGTAATCATCCAACTACCATAGTCTTAGAGATGAGATCATTGACATTCAAAGAAATGAAGTGGTCTTCCCTCTTTCTTAAGTAATAATTTCCTTTTCATGTTTTTACACTAAACCGATGCTTTTTGAATAAGTTGTAAGGTAGAGGAAATAAGATGGAATGACACAGATAAAAATACCCCCAAGGTAGCTCAACTCTAAATTTTGAATGTATATAGCAAAACAAACAAACAAAAAAACAATATCTAGACACAATTCCTACTCAGTTCTTTCTGATATGGTTCCAGTTTCCACCCATTAGTGAGTTCTTTATTCATTAATTCATTAACTCGTTTATTTATTCAACATATATTTATTGAGAAAGGAACATGGCCATATACTGTCTAAATTTTCTGAACCCCAAACCAGGATTTTTCATCTGAATAATGGTTTTTATAGTCTTCCTATGTGTTAGAGACAGTCTACAAAATGTAATTTGGACATGAACGAGTTGGGATGTCTGAGATATTTTTATAGTTATGGGGACAGTAGCTCAGAATATTGAAAGTCAAACTCAATGGTGCATTCAGGAGTAGATGTCCAGCTTGCAGTGGGAAACACACCAGCCATATCAAATAGACATAAATGTCTATTTTTAAATGAACTCCTGGTTATAACTAGCTATTTCATAGAAGGAAAATGAAAATGGGTCGGATGAAAAGAAATAAAACCTCATAGCAGAAAAATAACGATTTTTAAACTATAGCTTAATGGTTAATCTGGGTTTGAGAGTTCTTGTGCTATTCTTGTAACTTATCTAAAAGTTTGAATTACATTATAAATTAAAAGGACACAAATGCATTGCTTTATATGGAATAAATGACATTAAACTTTTAGTCCAACTCGGTTAAAGAGAAGGAAGAACAGCTCCCTAATCCTGACAGTTTAAGGGAGACACAGATCTTTCCAGGTGCCAGGGAAGAACTCTGGCCACTACACCAAGACCCAAGTTTCTTAGAGGTCACAAACTGCTCTCCAAGGTTCTGCCCTCCTGTGCGTAGAAGAAAAGCATGTCCCAGTGCCCAACCATGTCATTAAGAATCACAGTCAACTCTCAGGTTTTAGATTTTAAAAATCACCTCAAACAAGGCTATTGTTAAGCTAAATTTGTACTAGTCCAAAAGCCACTGCATCATGGAGATACATTTTGATTTGTTGTTTGTGTCTGTTTACATAGATTCACTCGATGGATTTTGATGACACGTGGCACCCTGCCACCCACCCTTCTGGGGCTGTTCTTCCTGTACTCACAGCTTTATCAGAAGCCTTTCCTCAGAGGCCAGCATTTTCTGGCCTTGACCTTCTGCTGGCTTTCAATATTGGTGTTGAAGTGCAAGGCCGATTAATGCATTTCTCCAAAGAAGCTAATGACATACCAAAGAGGTATGGGGACGGTTTACGCAATGACAGGCAACCACATCCCCTTCATCCCTGAGTCATTAACTCTGCTGAGCTTTCTCTTCTACAGGCCAGATCAGCTGAAACCATTAACACCAGTGCTGGCAGAGAAGTTGATTCAACAGTCACATACCAAATACTTTACCCACACACAAAGGTGACTTCAGAAGTGCTTCTGAAATTTTTCCTTTGCATTTATGGAGCCACTAAAGTAACCAGAACCATGAAATAAAGTGAGACTTCTCAACATGATTTCTGTCATAAGTTGGGACTTCTCAGGGTAACTTATATTATTCTGGCATTCATGCGCTCTCCGAGTATTCCTGAGCCCAGCCTCAAATCAGAACCTTCTCTGATATTCACTAGGACTAATGAGAACATGGAGAATATCTCAACTCTGAATACTCATCGTAGAGGTTGATAAGGGCCAAATGGTGCCTATGTTATATGGTTCAATCTCTTACTACTTTGACATTTGCTAGAGAAGAATAAATTAGAACGCTGGGTGGTAAATTTTCACAGCTGCTACAAGGTTCTCAGTTCTTACAATTACTTTCCTGAGCTTTCAGCAATCACAAACTCTTGCCTTATTGGCAATAATTGTAACAGTACCATTTATAAAGATTTTACTCTGTGTCAGGCACTGTCATAAACATGTGAGTTCATTCAAAGCTCTCAAACTCTATAAGGTTAACATTGTTATTATCACCATTGTCTGTAAGAAAAGACAGATACAGGTAAAGTTCCTTTCCCTAGATCACACAGCTAGTAAGAGGTGGAGCTGAGATTTGAACCCAGACAACATGAATCCATTAGCAATGCTCTTGATCATCTACGATACTCTACTGTTGCCTGGAGTTGAGGTTTGTAAAGTTCAATTCTGCTTCTCTGTTTTTCAGATTTCATCCCCCTTCAGTGGTAGGAACTTTGGGGAGTGCTGCTGCTGCATCTAAGTTTTTAGGACTTAGCTTGGCAAAGTGCCAAGAGGCCCTGGCCATTGCCGTTTCCCATGCTGGAGCACCCATGGCCAACGCTGCTACTCAGACCAAGCCCCTTCACGTTGGCAATGCAGCCAGGCATGGTTTAGAGGCTGCTTTTCTGGCAATGCTGGGTCTCCAAGGAAACAAGCAGGTCCTGGACATGGAGACAGGATTTGGGGCCTTCTATGCCAACTATTCCCCTGAACTCCTCCCAAACTTAGACTCTCACACTTGGCTGCTGGACCAGCAGGATGTGGCCTTCAAGCGTTTCCCTGCTCATTTGGCCACCCACTGGGTGGCAGATGCAGCTGCATCTGTGAGAAAGCACCTTGTAGCTGACAGAATGCTGCTTCCCACTGACCATATCAGGAGGATTGTGCTCAGGATTCCAGATGTCCAGTATGTAAATAGGCCCTTCCCAGACTCAGAGCATGAGGCTCGGCATTCTTTCCAGTATGTAGCCTGTGCTATGCTGCTTGACGGGAGTGTCACTATCTCGTCCTTCCACAAACACCGGATCAACAGGCCACAGATGAGAGAGCTGCTCAGGAAAGTGGAGCTGGAGCACCCTCTGGACAACCAGCCAAGCTTCAACAGGCTCTACTGTGAGATAAGTGTCACCCTCAGGGACGGGGCCTCCTTCACCGTGCGCTCCGATACCTTCTATGGTCACTGGAGGAAACCATTGAGCCAGAAGGACTTGGAGGAAAAGTTCAGAGCCAACACCTCTGGGGTACTGTCCTGTGACACAGTGGAAAGTCTTATAAAGGTAGTAGAAAAGCTGGAAGACCTAGAAGACTGTTCTGTATTAACTACACTCCTGAAAGGACCCTCTCCAGGACAGGTGCTTCAAAGCTCTCCTGCAAGTATAATTCCAACACGCAATCTCTCCTGAAGATCACCACATCTAAATGACTTTGCATATGGGGAGATACAGTGATTTGTTTTATAAAACAAAGGGCTGCTGCTTGGTCTGCCTAGGAATAAATGAAACAAAGTGGAGAGTCCAGAAACAAGATTAAAACAAAACAAAAACAAACAAAAGATCAAGATGGTCTAAACATATAATTTAAAAGACATTTAACATCCTTATTACATCTAATGTACAAGTCATGAATTCAACCATTTTAAGTCTACAGTTCAATGAATTTTAGTAAATTTATAGAGTTGAGCAGACATCTCAATTTAGTTTTAGAATATTTCATCACTTCAGAAAATCATCTCATATATGCTTGTAATCAATCCCCATTTATACCTCCAGGACTTACATTCAAAGATTTTATTGTTTTAGAGGTTTTTGCCTTAGGGTATGTGTGTTTGCCGGAAAGAGAGAGAGACAGAGACGAGAAAAAGTGACAAATCACCCCCTAGGGGGATGGCCACATCACAATCCCTTTTCCATGTTCCTCCTGGGATCTTGGGCATGTATGCACAGGTGCCCAGTGTGATACTCAACCAACAGTTCCAGGACTCAAACTGCAGTTGGCCACGTGGGACTCTAGCGACGTAACCATTACATCATCGGCTGACTCCAAAGATCTTTTTATTGTAATGTCTTTTATGAACATTTCATATTAATGGAACCATATAATATGTAGTCATAAGGGCCTTACTTCTCTTATTTATCATAATGGTTTTGAGATTCTTCCACATGCAGTATATATCAGTACCTTATTCTTTGAAGAATTCCATTGTATGGATATACCACATTTTGTTAACCTATTCACTAATTAATAGATGGGTGGACTGCTTCCAGTTTGTGTTATTATGAATAGTACTTCTATGACACGTGGACATATGTTTCCATCTCTCTTACTGAGGCATGGGAATGCTGGGTCACTTGGAAAACATATGTTTAACTTTATTTTTAAAATTGCTTTCTGAAGTGGCTCTATTATAATACATTTCCACCAGCAATGTGTGAGGGTATTGCCTCACCCACACCAACTTTTGGAACTATCAGTCTTTATGATTTTAGCCATTCCAGTGAACGTGCAATAGTGGCACATTATGGTTTTAATTTACATTTCTCTAGTGACTAATTCTTGTCCACTTTTGCCAGTTCTTTTAATTGGATTGTCTTCTTACTGTTGAGCTATAACAGTTCTTTATATCGTCTGGGTACAAGTCCTTTATCAGATTTATGTTTTGTAAATATTTTCTCCTAGTTTGTGGCTTGTCTTAATTTTTTTAATGGTGTTTCTTGAAAAACAAAAGTTTTCAGTTTTGATCAAGTCCATCTTTTTAAAAATTTTGCTAGAGGTGCTCATATGCTCACTGGAGAGAGAGAGAGAAAGTAAGTAAAGCACTCCCCATGGGGATGGTCATACCACATTCCTTCTCCAACTCTCCTCTTGGGATTTTAGGCATGTGTGTATATATAGCCCAGCAGGTTTCTCAAGCCACCAGGTCCAGGTTGACCATGTGAGATCCAGCCTCCTTCGCCATACCATTGGCTGACCTGATCAAGTATATTTTACTATTTTGTTGTTGTTGCTGTTAATAAAAAAAATTACTTGTTTAAAAAAATTCAAATTCTGGCACTGTTCAGAACAATTTATCAGGTTTAACATTATTATAAAGTTAAACTGTAAAAACTTGTTCACCGAAAATATCTGACTTGTATAAATGCTTTATATCCCCACATTTATATTAAAAATTCATGCACAAATGAAAATGGAAAAACTGCCAGTATCTGATTTCTGTCCCTTATTTTTGCACTTGTGATCATATACTTAGGTACTTTTTGACTGCACAGAAAAAAAATATCTAAACCAATAATAGAAAGAAGACAAATTTTTTTTTGAGAATGAAATTTTTCCCATCATAGTGAACTTTTTTCCCCCCCCACTAGCGGGCACATTTACTTGGGATAGAGCTCTCTCTATCCTGAGGGAAAGTAAGAAAGTGTCACACAGAATAACCATGCGTCTGCACAGCAGCCCTCAACTATTCCAGTCATTCCAGCCCAGGCACCAACTCTGGATGTCTAGCCCAGTCAAACCTTTGATGACTGCAGTCCAGCTACTGACCATGACTGCTTGGGAGATCCCAAACAAAACCTAGCTAAGACCAACCACAGAACCAAGGAAGACAACGATTGGTTAGGCTGCTCAATTCTGGTGGTGTTTGTTATACAACAAAAACATTTCTGGAATACCATCAGTGTAAAATAGTACTAAGCAACCTATTTAGACAGGTGTGTATAAAAATCAATAAGCAACGCATTTCTGATCTTAAATTCCGAATTATTGCTGTGGGACATCTCCCATGATGTTCCAAAACTTTCAAGAGTATTGTGAACTAAATCTGTAACCTTAAAATTGATTTTAATTATTTAGCTTGAAAAAGATAAATACCTAACACACAGTTCTGTATAAAGAGAACCAAACAAAAAGAAATCAAAGAACAATAATTATGAGGGCTGGACTGTGAACCTCTAGCGATAAACACAGCACTCTGTGAGGCTGACCCACTTGGGAAGGTGCTGGGTTTGTGTCTGGAGAGGTCTCTGAGGATGCTGGGCACTCCCCTGCCCATGATCCAGGACTGGCTGAGGCCAGGGATGGATACTGGCATTAGGACTCTGCTGGAGATACTGTCTCTCTGTCTCTTTCTCTCTCCCCCTCTCTCTCTCTCTCTTGCTCATAGAAGAAATAAACAAGCATTTAAACATTACAATTATACTTGTAAATCAATCTTTATTTGAATCACTGATCTAAAATCAGAATCTGCCCTGTAACAAGATCTCACACATCCAAGCGCAAGTACTGGTACAGAACAGTAGTTTCCAACTCGTGTGCACATGAAGATCATCTGAGAATCTTTTAAACATTTCAAAATCTAGACCATGCCCCAGACCAATGAAATCACAATCTCTGGAGGAGGGACAGAAGCATCAATGCTTTGAAGCCCATCAGCTGATTCCAACTGCAGCCAAATTTGGGAGCCACTGGTCACCCTGGATGATGCACTGGGGAATCTTCCAGGGAGCATGGAAAGGCACTACTCCTGTTTTCCACCCGCCCCCTTCCCCCCCGCCCCCACAAGTTAGATGTAACTGCCCTCAGATTTGACCCAGGAACCAGAGGTTTGTTTTTATTTGTTGTTGTTGTTTTGTTTAAGAGGTTTTTGCCTTAGGGTGCAGGCACTTGCAGGGGGAGAGGAAGGGGGAAAGAAACCGTGAAAGGGAAAGTGAGAAATCAACCCCCAGAGAGGATGGTCACACCATAATCCCTTCTTCTCCACTCTCCTCCTGGGATCTTGGGCAGGCACACACATGCTCCCAGAGTGATTTTGAAGTCACCAGGTCTGGGACTTGAACTGCAGTTGGCCATGTGGGAGTCCAGTGATGTAACCACTACGCCATCTGCTGGCCTCAGCATCACGAGGTTTTAAAAGCTCCCCCAGGAGATTCTCATGTACTGCAAAGTTTAAGAAACACAGACTCAGAGCCTGGCACAGAAAGATTCACTGAGTCTGTGCCATTCTTTCGGAAGAAGGTTCTAAAGTCAGTGAACATTAATTAAAATGAACAGTTGGCCTCACAGCTTTCAGCTAACTCACCAGGTAGAGCACGCTGAAGTTCAGGTCTGCCAAATCCTGCACATCCCTCCCCACTGGCTTTCCTGGCACTTTCCTTTAGCACATTTCTCTTCTCCTCTATTTGGCTCCCTTTCAAGTGACTAATGACGTGCATCTGCTCCGCATTAGGAGCAAATACCTTCACCTTCAAAAACAGAAATAAACACAAATGATGTCACTGCCTCTGTGAAAACAATCAAGCAAATCATTCTCTGGGACTAAACCAGAAAGGAAAGTCGGAAAACCACTAAGTAATTCTGTATGCCTTCAGGGCCAACACCAGCTAGAAATATTACAGTTCGACCACAAAACAGAAAATGCGGGGGCCTTCTAGAGGAAAAAATATATTAACACAATAGAGCTACAGATTAAATTTCAGGAAGCTAATTTAGGAGATCACAAAGATCACACAGAGTTTGTTCTTCAAATATATATCTATGTGTGTGCTTTTTAAAGAGACAACCTGATTTTATAAAAACATATAGGGCTCACAGACATGGGAGAATTTCAATCAGCCCTTGAAATCCTTGTAAAGCAGTAATTCACAACCCTAGCTTCATATTAGAATCACCTGGGTTTGGGGGGCCCAAACAGGACAGTGAAGTGAGAATCTGAAGTGAGGAGCCAGCCTGGGCACTGTTGTCATAAAATCTCTCCTCGTGAGTCAGGGCTGGCAACTGCTGAGCAAAGCAAAGGTGAGATAATGATCACAACCTCAGGCTCCAAGTTTAAATCCCAGGAGCTTGAATGCCAAGAGCCTGAAATAGAATATTTGGTGGCTCTCACTTGACCAGTTCCACACATCTAGCCCCTCCATGTTCTGAATCAACATCCCCAGCCTACTCTCAGAAATGCTCAGAGATAGAAGAGTTCCTTCCAGTTTTTGACTTCCAGCTTGAATTCTGCAGGGGCACTGATCTGGAGAAACATGAGACCTTGAAGGAAAGAGGAAGCTCAAGGAGGCACTTACATTGTACTTTCTTCACTGGCTTCTACTCCAATCTAAAATGTGCCTGTCTAATTCTCCAGGAGGCTCATGACAATAGTCCAACTCAAATGTCCCTTGACTCTCTGACAGGGTGTCATTATGGTTAGAAGGCATAAACTTAGCACTTAAATATGTGTGTGTGTGTGTGTGTGTGTGTGTGTGTGTGATATTCTGAAAGTACTGAGAGTCTTACACATCTGAGCTCTTTTTGAATTTGTTAGTGAAATCTTCGTTTAAATACATACTTTTTTTTTCAAAGTGCTTTCAAATGAATACTCTTCTGCAATAAATTAAGTATGGTCCAGCTGTCTCTGGTATCCATTGTTGCTTCCTGTGTCTTTTCCCCCCTTTTATTGATTCACCAATGAACTTAATCTAAATATTTCCAATAGCAAGCGCAGCTGGTATATACATATCCATGAACACAAGTCTGACTTTAGGCATAAACCTCAGTGAGTAGAATGAACATACTATAAAGTGTCACCTAGCTGGGGCTATATAGCTTACTGCAGTCATCAAATATGCATTGTTTTTAATTTCAAGAAAAATAATTTTAATTTTTTTTTTCTCCTGAAACTTTTTAAAATTAATTTACATTCATCACCTAAGCACTGTCACAGCATACAAAACGTGGTTCCCATCCAGAATATACTGCGTAGTGGCTTAATCATGCATGTTATTATCAATAATTTTCCATTTCTAGTTTCATATATATATGCACTATATATATGTGTGTGTGTATATATATATATATATTTACCTCTATGTCTGATCCTCTGC